TCACCTCCTTATTCTCGAAAGTCATGGAATCAGTTGTTAACCATCAACTGCTCCGGTACCTAGAGGATCGCCAGCTGATCTCAGATCGCCAGTACGGCTTTCGACGGGAGCGCTCGGCTGGTGATCTTTTAGTTTATTTAACACACCGATGGGCGGTGGCAATCGAGAATAAGGGAGAGGCCTTAGCTGTTAGTCTGGATATTGCGAAAGCCTTTGATCGGGTGTGGCATAGGGCACTAATCTCAAAACTACCTTCGTTTGGGTTGCCTGCGAGATTGTGCAGTTGGGTCGCCAGTTTTCTTAAGGAACGTAGCATTAAGGTCGTAGTCGACGGAGCATGCTCTGACTTAAAACCTGTGAATGCTGGTGTCCCGCAAGGCTGTGTACTATCTCCGACACTGTTTCTTCTGCATATCAATGATATGTTACAGATCAGTGATATTCATTGTTATGCAGACGACAGTACAGGAGATGCATTATACACCGGTCATGCAAAGATCTCGCGGGCACATACCGATGAGCTCCGGAACAGACTTGTGTCTGAAATCGAAACTTCGCTCGACAAAGTTTCGATCTGGGATGAACGCAATCTTGTTCACTTTAACCCTAAGAAGACACAAGTCTGCGCGTTCACCGCAAAAAAGACACCGTTTGTCGTATCTCCTTACTTTCGGGGCACTTCCCTCGATAATAAGTCGAGTCTGGGGATTCTTGGCGTCGATATATCTAGCGACGTCCAGTTTTGCGGTCATCTGGAGGAAAAAGCTAAGATAGCTTCCAAAAAGTTGGGGGTGCTCAATAGGGTGAGACGGTATTTCACGCCAGAAAACCGCCTGAAACTATATAAAGCTCAAGTGAGGCCACACATGGAATACTGTTCTCACCTGTGGGCAGGAGCGCCACAGTACCAACTCCTTCCGTTAGACCGCATTCAAAGTCGGGCAGCTCGAATTGTTGACGATCGGCGTCTTACTGTCCGGCTCGACCCACTGGAACTGCGTAGAGATGTTGCATCTCTGTGCATTTTCTACCGAATTTATCATGGGGAGTGCTCTGAAGAATTGTTCGGATTGATACCTGCTGCAGATTTTCACCATCGTACAACCCGCCATAAACTAAAATTTCATCCCAACCATCTGGACAAGTGGCGGTCCTCCACCATGCGTTTTTCAAGGCACTTTCTCCCACGCACAACCACTCTTTGGAATCAACTTCCAGCAGCAGTATTTCCGAACCGATACGACAACATAACCTTCAAGAAAAGAGCATATTCCTTTTTAAAAGGCCGGCAGCACACCTGCAATGCCGTAGGTGTTGTGGGTGATCATGGGCGGCGGTAGTCACTTACCATCAGGTGAGCCGCATGCTCGTTTGCCCCCTGTGTTGTAAAAAAAAAAAAAAAACATATAAGACACACTTTTTGAAGAACCTCATACTGTAGCCTCTAGGAAAAACCTTAGCAGGAAGCTCATCCGACAACCTGAGCGTTTGCGGAAGGAAATACCTCTAAAACCGCACTGTACTCCATAATATAGATTCTGTAAGGATAAATTCTCTGTCGATGGCGAGCGGTGCAATTATTATTACTTCAGCCGTTAACTGTCCACTGCTGGACATAATCCTTCCTAATAAAAGAAGTTTTGCCAATAGTTGCCACGCTTGGCCTTAGATTTATCGAGTAAGAATGAATGAAGATATCGGTAGAGGCCGCCCTAGATGGACGTATGTCGACCAAATACGCGACGTGCTGAAGAAGGGCCAAATTAAAAGTACCCGCAACTGGCAAGCATGTATGAAAAGATTGATGAATGTGGAAGAAGCTAAAGAGGTTTGTTTGAATCGAAGCGTTTGGCGTTCCTTTGTTTCTGGCAATCCTAATGGGAGACAGGCGTGACAGATATGTATGTATGTATATTGATTGATAGCTGTTACATTTTTATAAAATAATATGTAATATATAATTACTCCCTCTCCATCCAAAGGTTGCCTGGAAGAGATCGCTTTTAGCGATAAGGTCACCCATTATTTTCTCATTTCAATTATCTCTTATAGTTGTTTATATTTATAACAAGTTTACTATTGTAATGTTTTGGAGGAAACAATAAAGAGTATCTATCTATCTATTTATCTATGTGAGTCTTTTTTATGCAACTTAGAATGGTAAAGAAGCCTACCTGTTAGAAAGTAATAACCGTCGCCTATAGACATGAGCGCTATGGACATATCGTTGGATGATTTTCCTTGATACGTCAGTATATAAATGGACAAGGTATATTATTACTGTTGTTTGATCTTCGAGATAATATCTTTCTTATCGACATTTTATCTGACCTCCATAGTAACAAACAACAATTTATTGGCAGAGATTGTAAAATAACAATGAATCTTCAATATTTACGAAAGATTTCATCTGATGGTGCGAGTAAATAAAATTGCGGTGCGTCGTAGGTAAGTAGAGTGGGTACCTAGAACTTAAGTGGACAGTATTTGCGCGGAGGATTGGCACGACGAATTACCTGTGGAGAATGGAAAATAAAACAAAGACAGTTCAATATGAGTGGATGCACAATACCTTGGAAGATTGAAAAGCGGTAGCGGCGGGCGAGGTCTCCGGACCTTCAAAGCTCCAGTATCTCGAGACGAAACGCAGTCACAGCACTGGATCACTGGGTTCTCAGTCAAAAGATTTAAATGCGGTATTATAAAAGCACTTCATTGTATTGAGTCCATCATGTGCGGTACCAAAAATGACATGCGGATAATGCGGGAGTTACTCAAGTAACAGTAACTGTACAACACTTTGTGGTGTCAAAAGACTAACTGTGTTCACCAGACATGCTGGTGATGCGGGAGTTACATATCAACAGTATGCACCAGACATGCTTGTGATGCGGGCGTTAGGAATTAACTGTCACGCCACCGCGCGGGCGATCTTTTAAAGTTTTCCGCAGGAACAAAGGACCTTTCTTGCCCGTACGTGTACCAAAGGTATGTGCGGGAATAGGAAACAAAGGAAATAGTGTCGATTGTCGTGTTAATCCTACAAAATAACGCGGTAAATTTGTGTATATATGTGTGTGTGTTGTAGTAGACAGATTGGTAACCGCAGTTAGGCTTTGGTGATTTTTTAAGAGAGACGTTACTGTTTCTCGACTACACTTCACTTCACAAGAGGGAGATTTTGTAAAAAAGTCGATTGCTTAGGTACCTCTGTCCCATTCGTGTTGCTACCGTGAAGCAGTTGTGTTTGCATGGCTGTGTTTCAGTTTGAAGGATGGGATATGGCGTGAATTTACAGGGTACAGAGGAATAACACCTGAGTCCTCAAGAATGACAACGCATGGGGTATCATGGGCGAAACAGTATACTCTGTTATGTCCATTTTTCTATAGAGAGACGGTTACCACTTTCCATCAGGTGGGCTGTTAGCTTGTTTGCCATTATAAGTAATATAAAAAAAAAAACATATTAAGTTTCCTTAGTCGCCTATTATAATTTTTAGCGTCCACGTGAAAGGAAGTGGTGGACCATTCTATGCCGGAATCATATGGCATTCCATTTTCTATCTATACTAATCTAAATATACAAGTAGCTATTTCCCCGCTACTTTGTACGCATACATGTACATATATTCATTGTATTCATGTATGTATAAAATTTACCAGAGAGAGACTTTGTACAAAAGTCGTTTGCTTGAGCACCTCTGCCCCATTCGTGTTTCTACCGTGAAGCAATTTTGTTTGCATGACTGTGTTTTGGTTCGATGAGTGGGATATGGTAGTGAATTTATAGGGTACAGAGGAATAATACCTGAGTATCATAGGCAAAACAGTATACTCTGTTATGTCCATATGCTCATGTCTATAGGCGACGGTTACCACTTTCTATCAGGTGGCCCGTCAGCTTGTTTACTATTCTAATTTGTATAAAAAAATATATATAAGTATATTATAGTCATATTCAATATGGATACGTACGTGTAATTGTTTTTCTACAAAAAAAATTCAATTTTTCACTACATAATTACATTTCTGTTTTGCCAAAGGTTGACTGGGAGAGATTGTTATACAGCATTAAGTCCGCCTTTTAAAAACTAATGAAATACTTTTAATTTCTGACCACTTTTAAAAGAATGCTTTATTTATAAAACTTATTCTACAAATGAACGTTTTTGCTGAAATATTGTAGGTCAAAAAAATATGACCGGTGGCGATAGGTGGGCGACATCTCATTTAAATGTTAAACAAACAAATGACTTTATTTAACATTTCAAGTTTAAAAAAATCTTTTTCTGCACATAATAAAGCATTACATAAGTACTTTCAAAGTTTTATACAAATTTATATGTATATAAATTATATTTTCTTTTTACAATTCCAACTTTCCAAGTGAAAACATATAAATGTGAACAGAATTTTTTGTAATAATGAGTGAAAACTTAAAAATTTTAAGTTATAAATTAATGAAGAAATCCTACATGTTATTCACAAAGGCGTCGTAATTTGTTTAGTTTTTAATTGAAATATACATATTGTAGTTCTAAATGGTGTATTGAGGATACAAAATGTCCCAAAAACGACTAGCTAATTGCTTTTTTTTTTTAATAAAACTGTCTGAAAATATGGTAATAACGTAACGTCACTTTATTTTATGTCCACTAGGACATAAAGTGACCTTAGCGATACTAAATACAATTTTATTCCAGAAGAAAATGCACTTTTTGAGAAAAAAAAATGTGTTTTTTCTGTCGAAGTATTTCTAGGAAGGCGCTCTATTTAAATATACGTAATCCATATTGTAACCAGAAGGCTGTACCAAAAATATTGGACAATTGCAGTATAATTCATTCAAGTATCGTACGCTTCGTATGGTTATGCGTCTCGTATCGCTTATGCGATCTCTGTTTAAGGGTAAATCCGTCTGTGTCTCTATTGTGCATTTCTTTTATTTGTTAAATTTTTCTCAATATTATTCTTAAAAAAAAAAAAAAACTATTTAACTTAGTTTTATATTTTTTTAATTCTTGATTGTTTATACGTTCTTTTCTGTTGTATTTTTTTCATTTATTTATTTATTTATTTATTTTCTTTCAACGATTGTGTCTCCTGCTCTGCAACAAGTGAAGGTGATGTTAAAATTATAAATGGGAAGTACTAATATTACTGTTTGACTGTCTTTAATAGTGTCAAGAGTTTCTGGGCTACCTTCTTTGTATATAAAGTTCTGACGTCTCACCGCAAGATGGCATCTGAAGCACAAGGTGTATGATAATCATTTAACTGACTTCAAAAAGAAGAAGTTTCTCCATTTCATGCTTTTTATGTTTGAATAATAACTGAATTAGTTTTAAATCGTTTTGGAAAATTCTTTGGTTTTTATCTGAAAGGATATAGATGGAGATTGCAGAGGAAATTTGTTATCATTATCGATTCAATAGTTTTTGAATAGTAATAACTGGTTTTACCATAATTGAAATGGATTTTTTTATACAACTTAGAATGGCAAACAAGCTGACGGCCCACCTGATGGAAAGTGGTAACCGTCGCCTATAGACATGAGCAGTAACACAGACATAACAGAGTATACTGTTTCGCCCATGATACCCCCCATGAGTTGCCATTCCTGAGGACTCAGGTGTTATTCCTCCGTACCCAGTAAATTCACGCCATATCCCACCCTTCAAATCGAAACACAGCCACGTAGACACGACTGCTCTGCGGTTGAAACACGAATGGGACAGAGGTACCCAAGCAATCGACTTTTGTGCAAAGTCTCCCTCTGGTACAAACTATACAAAATGAAAATAATATTATGTGTACTTGTATAAACTATACACATGATTCAAAATATAAATTATTAAAGTATGTCTGATACTTGAAAGTAAAGTTGATAAAATGCCCGTATGGGGGATGGGGAGGGAGAGAGTAGGGATTGTTAGTTATGCGAATACCCTATCAAGTCCATCTCCATGTGGTCCCCCATAGAAACCTGAATCCCCGTGATTTCATCACGATGCGCTAACTGACCTACCTTTTCATTCTCACCTATCGTCCCTCACTGCTGCTTCGCCAGCGTATACCGTTACCGCAGGCGGATCACCATACCATTGTCGTCTATTAAAAAATAGACGTATTTATCCCATCTCTCCTGATCATCGTCTCTTTGTGATGGGGTAACAATCTCTGATTTCGGTCACAAAAACAAATATAAATTTATACTCACTGTCAACTTCTCCGTAGAAGTTCCATTTCTGTACTGTCCCTTTACCATAAAGCACATACACCATATTTGTGAAGACTTGAAACGATACAACTATGATGAACAGTATTTGCCAACGGTATTGATTTTTCTGAAAGGTATATAAATAATTTTGTTATATAAAAATAAAGTATAAAATGAATATTTTATATATGTAAGGGATTCTTTCTACAAAAGTCGTTTGATTGGATATGTCTGTCCTATTCGTGTTTCAACCGTAAAACAGTTGTTTGCATGGCTGTGTTTCGGTTTGAAGGGTGGGATATGGCGTGAATTTACAGGGTACATAGGAATAACACCTGAGTCTTCAGGAATGGCAACGCATGGGGGGTATCATGGGCGAAACAGTATACTCTGTTATGTCCATGGTACTGCGCATGTCTATAGGCGACGGTTACCACTTTCCATCAGGTGGACCGTCAGCTTGTTTGCCATTCTAAGTTGCATAAAAAAATGTGTAAGTATATTTGTTATTTATATATATTTATTAATTTATATATGTAATTTTAGTATATATGTATATCAATAATTACTAGTACCGCATTGGAGTATTCTGACACTTCCCTATGGAATTGACTGGAAGAGAATGCTTTTAGCATTAAGTCCGCCATGTACACATATATGTACTTATGAATAAATAAACAAATAAAATGAATGATATTTATTGTTATAACAATCATAACAATGTCATAATAATCACCATAACATTTTATCAATATCAATAGGAGCATCCAGTAACTGCATGCGAGCACGTAGACGGCAATTATTCAATGTTCCATTAAGAAGAACAGAGTTGGCCAAGCGAGCTCCCCTCTCTCTTGCATTGAAACTGCTCAATGATATTTTGAGACGCCGCAATTAGACGTATTTGCCTCCAACTTGCTGGAGTTTCGTCGGATAACCACAGAGTGTTTGTGTTCAGAGATTTAGGATCTAATGTTACTTCTATTTAAGTGAAATATTTTTTATATTATTCCTTTTATTTATATGTATTATTCCTGTCTATATATGTTATTGTACTGATGCTTTCCTAAGTGAGCGTATGGGGAGACTGTAAGGCTCATACAGTTGATGAAATAAATAAATAAATAAGGGAAATAACCTATAGGTGTATTACTGGATATTGATATATTTCATAGTAAAACTAGCTGACTCGGCAAACGTTGTTTTACCATATACATTATTTCGAGAACTATACATGAAATTTTCTCGTACTAAATTATTGTATTCGATTGCCATCTTTCAACCCTATTGTCGCATATAAAAATCGCAATTTAAAAAACAGGGGTTGATCGTAAAAGCGTGAAAATTTGAATTTGTATGTATTTTTTAATGTTAAATCATAATAAAATAAAAATAAAAAACATTATTAAAAAATTTTAAAAAAATATATATTTAGGGGTGGGTCATCCTTATCATTTAGGCGTATGAAAAATAAATGTTGACCGATTCTCAGACCTATCCGATATGCACACAAAATTTCATAAAAATCGGTAAAGCCATTTCGGAGGAGTTTGGTAACAAACACCGCGAAACGAGAATTTTATATATTAGATAACCACAGCGAGGAATATTTTGAGTAAGTAATTTTTTGACTAGGAACTTTTCTGTTTTATATTGAACACATTTGTTTTATGTTATATTGTTCACTATATCATATGTAGTATGCATGTTTGCCTCGCGTGTGTGGGTGTCTAAGATAAATAATCGTTTACTCTTTGGGTTATTTGTCTGAGGCAAGCACTGTCAAATTTTATATATTGCATCTATTGGTGGAAACCTATAGGTGATTTTATTGTTGTTATCTTATAGTTATTTTTTATGTAAATAAGTCTTGGTTTTCCTTTTACAAATAAATAAATATTTACAATAGGGCGATTAGGGTTTTTAACTTAAGAAAAAGATAAAATAATGACATATAATTTAAGTCATTAAAGATTTATTTGTATTACTTACAGCATACAAGTAATAACAAATAAAGATATACATAAAAAGCGAAATAACATAAATGATAAAAAAAAATACATAAAGCCAAGTACAATTTTTCCTTTTGTGCGTGTGCCGTAACAATACAAAATGGTCAGAACTCAGTTTATTGCTTCACCCTCAAAAGAGCACAGCACTGATATTCTGTTGTGGCCAAAGGGAATAGGGTAATAATAAAATAATACTACCAGATTAACTATAAAATAAACAGATAGATATTCAATAAACAGACAGATAGTGTCTAGTGCCAGCCTCTCTCTTATTATTTTTTTTTGCAACACAGTGGGCAAACGAGCTTGCGGCTCAGCTGATGGTAAGTGACTACCGCCGCCCATGATCACCCACAACACCAAAGGCATTGCAGGTGTGCTGCCGGCCTTTTAAAAAGGAATATGTTTTTGAAGGTTATGAAGTCGTATCCGTTCGGAAATACTGCTGGATTAATTCTTATGGATGTGACATCATCTGTCGGGTCAAACAGAATCTTAATAGGTATTCGTAAACTTACCAAGTCATCTTTAATGACACTCGCAATGATGACGGGAATAAATAGACTAGTAAATATGGCGAACATGTTGCCCAAAGCCATAACAGGACCAGCGAAGTTTGGCGTTAAATCTATTTGATTAATCTGCAAAAGAAAACAATAATATTCCACGATTACCAAAAGATATTGTATTTATAAAGAAATACAATATAAAAAAAAATATGGCAGTCTATGGGGGAGGCTTATGTCCAGCAGTGGACGGATAATGGCTGAAATGTTTATGACGATGCTTGTATTTATACGTTCATTGATGGTAAACCGTAGCGGTTTACATAACATTCAACAATGTAAAATTTATAACTGTACCTTTGTATATGCGATTGACTGATTGACAGATTGACTGTTTGTTTGATTGATGGTTGATTGATTCACCAAATCTGATACTTATCACATATTCTTTTTAATGGATGATAATGGAATGGTTACCACGCCTGCGCTAACGGTATACGCTGGCGAGGCACCAGTGAGGGATGATAGGTGAGAATGAAAAGGCAAGTTCATTACCCCTCCTATACATATGATGTCACTTTATATGAACCTTCTTTGTAAATGTGGCAATGTTTGCTGAATAAATTATTATTATTAAACGGATTATATATTTTAATATTTTATTTAACTGTACATTTGTTTATGTATTTTAAATATTAATAGATGTAGCACTTCAGCTGCTCGTTAACGACATGCTTTCTAATTGTACTGGGTTGACTGGAAGAGATCTCTGTCAGATAAGTCCACCCTTGCTCACAATATTTATAAATACATTATATTACGTGTAAATTACAATTACGATAAAGAATATATGGATATATATATATATATATATATATATATATATATATATATATATATATATATATATATATATCCGTATAATTTGGTTATAATTATGTTTTGCTTTTTGTTATCTATCTATCTATAAATTCGTGTACTACTCACGTGATGGCCAACATTGACACCAGAGTAAAGAGCTTGGCACACGATCAGTAGCACGATTGCCATTAGAGTGTTGTCCACGTAACTGAACGCCACGAGAAACATTCCAGAAACGACTGTACCTAAAAATTGTAAGAGAAGGGAGATTTTGTAACATTTGTTAGTTTAGGTGCCTCTCTTTAAGATATATTGTGTGCGTAAATGTATGGAACACTGATAAAAAAAAACGAGTCAGCTAATTTAACAATTAGCTGACAAAAAATTGATCGATTTTTGAGGTTCGATGCTCTATCTATATGATCTAAGCCCATCCCATTTAAATTATTTCACAATACGGTACTGTCACGCCGTGTGGTCCCAGCATAGAATAGGCCATCCCTTCCTTTCCCGTGAGTGTTGTAAGAGTCGACTAAGGGTCCGCAAGGGATGGGCAGCAGCGTCCCTATTAAAAAATTTCTAAAGCCTAACTGCGGTTGCCAATCCGTCTGCCAACATTTTTTTTTACAACACAGGGGGCAAACGAGCATGCGGCTCCCCTGATGGTAAGTGACTACCGCCGCCCAAGATCACCCACAACACCAGCGGCATTACAGGTGTGCTGCCGGCCTTTTAAAAAAGAATATAATTATTTCTTGAAGGTTATGTTGTCGTATCGGTTCGGAAATACTGTTGCTGGAAGATAATTCCAAAGAATGGTTGTGCGTGGAAGAGAGTGCCTTGAAAAACGCACGGTGGAAGACCGCCACTCGTCCAGATGATTGGGATGAAACTTTAATTTGTGGCGGGTTGTACGGTGGTGAAAATCAGCAGCAGGTATCAATACGAACAATTCCTCAGAACACTCACCATGATAAATTCGGTAGAAGTATTGGAACTACTGGCAAAACCTCTTAAGGGAGAGGCTTATGTTCAACATTGGACAGTTAAAGGCTTACATGATAATGACGATGATAATGATTTAGTTACCTATTGTGTTTGTGACTTTTCTCACATTGCCAATTGACATTATATTCTTGACCACCAGGAAGTCAGCTATGTATCCGAAGGCTAGCGTCATCACATACAGAGCAATGTATGGCAAGGATGAGTATATGCCGCTCTGAAATACAACATCACTGTTATAATATTAATAATAAACCGGTGCGAGTTGAACTCATACGCCGAGGGTTCCTTTTTTCTATAACACAGGGAGCAAACGAGCATGCAGCTCACCTTGTGCTAAGTGATTACCGCTGCCCACGATCGTAGTCAGGCTTTGAAGATGTTTTAAGAGGGACGCTGCTGTCCATACCTCGTCCTCCTTTATTCGGTTCTTACGATATCCACGGTATTGGGTAGCCTATTCTATGTCTAGAGCAGAAGGCCACCGGAGTGGTATGTATACAGTTTTTATTAAGTATTTATTCAATAAATAATTCTATCTATCGATCCTATTTAAGAGCTGCGCTCTTGTCGGTGGAGCTCTTGCCACTCACTACGATTTTCAGCGAGTCTCTTCACCTCTTGATACGACACGACACCAACTCCTTCCTTGATCTGCCTGATGTAACTATGTCTCGGTCTCCCTCTTTCCCTCCTTCCTTCTATCTTACCTTCTATTATAATGTTCATTAGTTCTTCGTGACGTATCAAGTGTCCCAGCATTTTTTTTTATTATTATTTATTAAATTATAATAAAAAAAAATGCATTATTCAATAAAATTTAAATATGGAAGACGGATATGGGCTTTCATCAGATTCATCGAGAACCAGTGATTAGTACACTAAAAACATGCGATAATTCGTTTAAACACAGTGTGGATACCGTGAGGGCGGTGTGAAGGGTGGCTATAAATAATAATGGTGAGTGTGTGAGGATACCCGAGCGAGAAGAAATTACGCGAGCTGCCAGACGAAGACGCCGTCCACGATCCACGTCGAAACGTTGGCAATAAAGGAGCAGGTATGTAAGTACTATTTATCTTTAAAAGCTTTTACATCGCATCAAGTCCCGATTATGTATTTGAAACATATATACATATTACCAGAATATATATACATTTACCAGAGGGAGACTTTGTACAAAAGTCGATTGCTTGGATACCTCTGTTCTATTAGTGTTTCAACCGTAAAGCAGTTGTGTTTGCATGACTGTGTTTCGGTTTGAAGGGTGGGATATGGCGTGAATTTACTGGGTACGGAGGAATAACACCTGAGTCCTCAGGACAACGCATGGGAGATATCATGGGCGAAACAGTATACTCTGTTATGTCCATGGTACTGTTCATGTTTATAGGCGACGGTTACCACTTTCCATCAGGTAGGCCGTCAGCTTATTTGTCATTCTAAGTTATATAAAAAATATATATATACATATACATCTACTTACGCTCCTAACGTCGACTCCCAACACATTGTTTAAATACGTTGGTGTCTGAGTAAGCACGAGTATATAGCCGGTGGTACTGCCCAGTTGGGTTATCACCATGGCCCAGACAGGTTTGCTGGTCAGTATATGTTTCCATGGTGTTTTCCGTGGCTGTAACATAGAACAAAAAATGTTATACAATACTGACGGATCAATTCCCGCACAATGCAAATAGTTTTATTCCTAGGAATAATTATTATCTGTGTCTGTGTTTGGCTGTGTGGTCCCGGCATAGAATAGGCCACGTTTCTTTCCCGTGAGTCTAGTAAGAGGCGACTAAGGGAGGGCGAGGGATGGGCAGCAGTATCCCTGTCAAAACACTTGTCTCTCCAAAGCCTAATTACGGTTTCCATGCCTGCCAAGTTTGGCAACTACTGGAAAAACCCCCTAAGGAAAATGCCTGGATATTCAGCAGTGGACAGTTAAAAGCTGATATGATGATTATAGCTAGTAGCAGGTAATTATGCATTTTTTCTTTACTCTATCAATCACAAAACCATACTATACAAAAAAATAGAAACAAAAATCGAGTATGTATGTATATTTACATTTGTATGTATGTTTCTATGATATATATTTGTATATGTAAGTACTATTTGTTTAATGTATCCATGTAAACATTGTATGTGTCATAATTTGTAAGTGAATGTGAATATTTTTCACCACATAATTACATTTCTGTTTTGCTAACGGTTGTCTGGGAGAGAATACTTTATAGCATTAAGTCTGCCTTTTATACCAGAAATTTTCTGTAATGTAATAACTAAAGAATCAATAAATATGTAATATTATAAAATATAAATATGTAATATGATAAAATAAATAAATGCAATGCTTTTATATGCTAACCCTATTAATATGAATGGATGATGAAAGAAGAATTACGAAAGAGATTTATAGAGCAAGAATGAATGCAGATGTCGGTAGGGGCCACCCTAGACGGACGTATGTAGACCAAACAGGCGACGTGGTGAAGAAGGGCCAAATTAAAAGTACCCGTGACCGGCGAGCGTGTATGAAAAGATTGATGAATGTGGAAGAAGCGAAAGAGGTTTGTTTGAATCAAAGCATTTGGCGTTCCATTGTTTCTGCCTACCCTAATGGGAGACAGGCGTGACAGATATATATGTATGTATGATATGTATGTACTTTCTCCTCTCGGGTTCTCGAGGTTGACTGGAAGAAATCCCTTTAAGGGATAAGTCCAACTGTTTATATTTTGCTATAACCTAATATCTATATTATAAGCGAATGTACAAATGCATATTAATAAATAAATAAATAAATTTGTTATCAAACTTACGCTGGATTTATTGGCATTCCCATTGCCAGTGATATACAATAACTCCTCAGTGGTAATGGTAGGGTGGTCCTGAGGAGTAGCAGTCACGAGCCACGCAAGGAGACCGCAGCTGATGAAACCTGCTATTCCAAAGAACCAAAAACTAAACGGCCAACCGAAACTGGGGCTACCCGCAAAATATCCGGCTATTGGATAGCCGAGAATAACAGCGCATTCTGAACCTGAAAGAAAAAGATTAAATATATTCGTATTTATTTTTTAACCAAATTTCCCACCATACCAAATTTAAAAAATGTCTGCCTGAATGTCTTGATTGGCCATTAGTCTATTTGCGCAATATTGTAGGCTTCAACATGTCTAAATATTATTTTTATATTTAGTTCAATTAATTATAATGTATTCCTATTTTTTTTTATCCAACTTAGAATGTCAAACAAGCTGACGGCCCACCTGTTTGAAAGTGGTAACCGTCGCCTGTAGACATGAGCAGTACCATGCACATAACAGAGTGTACTGTTTCGCCCATGATACCCCCATGCGTTACCATTCCTGGGAACTCAGGTGTTATTCCTCTGTACCTTGTAAATTCAAGCCATATCCCACTCTTCAAACCGAAATGCTTCACGGTTGAAACACTAATTGGACGGAGGTACCCAAGCAATCGACTTTTGTACAAAGTCTCCCTCTCAGTCTAAATTAAATTGAATATTAAAAGTCGCAATAATAATAAATATTTTTTTACAATTAACAATGTTAAGTCCATCCATAATATAAAGGTCAGTTTATTTTTCATTGTAAGTATTTACGTTAGTTATTAGAACCAAAGATATTAATGGACTAATAACATTTTTCTATTAAAAGCTGTCATTGCATTATTGTGATTCTATTTGAAAGGTGAAATATGGCACTGAAATTAAAATATATAGAGGTATTACGTCTTATTCCTAAGGAATTGCTAGAAGAGAATGCTACGTAGCATTAAGTTCGCCTTTTTTAGCAATATTTTTTTTAAATGTGGCTAATAAAGAATAAATCAATGGAAATGCATGATAGCATACCATAGGCCAATTCAGAGTTTTCTGTGATTTCATTTGTTTTTGATTAAACAAATAGATGTGGTGATCACAAATATCTTAACTTTCTCAAGTAAAAATAACGTGTGTATTAACAAGGGCTCTCACAGTATACTGCAAACTAAATAAGCACATGCCCCATCTAGGCTTATGTCCAAAAAGTGTTTGCAAATACACATAATTTGTAGCTGTAGCCAATTCATACATAAATGATATATCTTCTTTGGAAAATACGCTTTATATTCTGAGAAGATAAAAACACATCGCTACAAAGAACAACTTAAAATTCCTATCACAAGGCGAAAAGAAATTAGCAGCGAACTTTAAAAAAAGAGCGAGCACAAAGGATTATAAAGGACGCAGTATTACAAGGTTTTCTATTTGTAAAATTCCGTCTCTCAATAATAATAACATGTAAAAGTGTATTAGAATTCCTTACCAGTGTATACAAATGTAGTAAGTCTAGACCTTTCATTTAAAGGAGCCCATTTTGCCAGCATCGTATGCGTAGATGGGTACAGAGCTGCTTGAAAGCATCCTTGCACCAAACGTAAGAAACATATTCCTATCCAGCCACTCTGTAATAATATTCTTTATTGCACACAGAGAAAAAGTTACAAATTAATAGAAAAAAAAAAAAAAAATACACGTCTACTTAGAGGTAACTAAAAAAATCTTTTTTTTTAGTACAATTTAGAATGACAAACAAGCTAACGGCCCACCTGATAGAAAAAGGTGACCACCTGATGGAAAGTGGTAACCGTCGCCTATAGACATGAGCAATGTCACGGACATAACAGAGTACATATACTGTTTCGCTCATGATGCGTACCATGCGTTACCATTACTGAGGACTCAGCTGTTATTCCTCTGTACCCTGTAAATTCACTGCCATATCCCACCTTTCAAACTGAAACACAGCCATGCAAACACAACTGCTTCACGGTAGAATAGACATGCATATGTATATAAAATGGTAGAAGAAGTATTTGTAGTATGAGCGTTGCCATTTCTGGTGGCAAAGATTTCTAGGCTTTTTTCCTTATAAACATTGGTTTCGGCTCTGACTTACTGTACGATGACTTCACGGGCTCTCCGAATATGAATTTCAAAATTCAGACATTGGGATTCGATTTCAGAATCCCCAAACTACAGTCAAATGCTGTTTTACTGATTTTAGCTATCAACTGAGCTAATAACCACCATAATAATATTAAAGAAAACAATGACAAAAATAATTTCAAGCAGTGATATCAGAGAATTTTTGTATTTCCACATTTTGTCAAGCGTATTCCTTGTCTTATATATTAGAAGTTACTGATAACACTATTAAAACAGTCTCATAAACTATAAGAAAAAATAGTTGCTACATATTACATGGGTACTACTGTTTTTTGGTTTTGCATTTGCAGTCAAATGGTAGTATTACTAGCTACGAAAGCATGAATTTTATGACCTCATAAATGGCAAAATATGTGAAGGATCCGGAGATTACAGTGTACTCTATAATAACCATGGAGTTCTTTATGTTTACGGATAATTGATTTTAATCAGATACACTATCAATTTGTTTATGTACCTATCATCATCAAATCAACGCATGGGGGGTATCATGGGCGAAACAGTATACTCTGTTATGTTCATGGTACTGCTCATGTCTATAGGCAACGGTTACCACTTTCCATCAGGTGGGCCGTCAGCTTGTTTGTTATTCTAAGTTGTAGAAAAAAAAGCCATTATATGCCTACTGTTGAACATAGGCCATATGGGGAGCCATAGACTACCACAACAAAGAACAGTTCCAGGCTACCTGCGTCTACTGACTCCTTGCAATGCATTCAAAGTTGTCACTCCATCTAATGAGGGTCGTCCTACCTATGTTTTTAATTAATTTAATACTTACAAATTTTGGAAACCAAGGTAGAACAATCGAAACAGCCGAATTTACTGCAATACATAGGAGAAGAGGTATCTTGCCACCGAATCTCTGTGCCATAATTCCCATGGGTACCATCATTACGGTATATCCCAAATAGAAGGAATACGATATCATGTCTTGAATTGATTTTGACCAGTTGTATGTCTGAAATACATATTTTACTAACTTTTATAATGTACTGTCGAAATATAAATACTTAGTAATGTTGTAAATTTGAAAATAAGTTTGATGCCTCTTAAAGTCCGCCTAAAAACCGGACCAATCATTGTGAAAGGTATGCACGTACACGTGTAAAAACTACATTTTTGCGGTCAATCATCACATTTCGGTTTCGTCGCTGAAGTTGCAGATAAAAGCTAGTAGACAATACGAGTAAATGCATTTATAATTATAATTATGGTTTTACATTTAACTTAGACTTATACATCCACTATGTTAAAGAACTTAGACTGAGTTTACTTACATTAAAAAGCAATCGAGAATAGACATGGCTTGAATATAATAAGTAACTTTACCACAATAAAGAGAAAAATTCAAGACGTAAAAGAAGATAATAATGGTGGCATTTAATCGTCTATAATAAAGTTCTTGATATTCGCTCTCAGTCTGCTCTTGGTGTGATCAGTAGAAACAGTCGGATATTGATCGGAAGGGCACTGGACTGTAGTGTGAACACATATATTGTTTCCTACATCTCAATTATGACGTGGCCTTTTATGAAGTTAAAAAAAGAACTCTGATCTTACTTTTACCGCTTATGCTTAGTCCTAATCGATGATTTATTATCGATTAAACATTGATTATTCTGTCTTTCGATATCATCATTTCTAGCACGAGAGAGAATTTCTATGAAGCAACTGATGATCTTGTGAAAATCAGAAGAAAGTAGGTTTTGACCCACATAATTATGATCATAGCGACTTATCGCCACACTCGATAGATGAATAAGAAAAGTTGTTTATTGCTGTTCCAAACAATCCTATTATATGAAGTACAGAGTGAATTGTCTATAAAATTACTGGAAGCAGTAATTTGAAAGCGGACTGAAGTACGGCTTAAATTTTGATTACATTTATACCCGTTCATTGTATTTTAGATTGGCTTTTAGAAATATTCATTATTTTAACTTTATTTACCCACCTGATATACAGTCCATGAATTTGTATTAATACAACATCTGCAAAACAATATTTTACTATCGTTCATCGAATTACTATCAGTGTTTTCTAAAATGATTGTATCATTTGTCATGGTTTCATTGGTTATGAAGCAATTGCCTGTGCACACTGTTTGGTTTGTCATTATGTCACAATCTTCTGAAGAAACATCAGTCATTGCTACCACTGACACGCTCATATGAGCTCTCAAAGCGTATCCTGTGGTAACTGTTAGAAATAGTACTAAGACTTGTAAATGGCGGGATCCCAGACCTGATGGAGCCTCGTATGACGGTTTTAAATCTAAAACACAATTTCTCCTAAATTAATATTCATGTTTTATAATAAACTAGCGACCCGCCCCGGCTTCGCACGGGTGCACATTACATCACATCACATTAGAAACCTTTAAAATTATCAGTGTTTCCCTACTATATTATGCGTGTATTATATATATAAACTTTCTACTTGAATCACTCTATCTTTAAAAAAAACAATTCAAAACCCGTTGCGTAGTTTTAAAGATTTAAGCATACATAGGGACGGACAGACAGCGACAGCGACTTTGTTTTATACTATGTAATGATTGATTAAGAAATTTTTATGTTATTTTTTTCATACCATTATGGTTGCAAACAAACATACAGTCCATCTGATGGTAAACGGGGTTACCGTAGCCTATAGATGATATAACACCAGAGATGTCACGCGCGCGTAGTCAACCCTTAAGAAATCTTAAAACCCCTTTTTTGAAGAACCCCATGCAGTCGCTAGGGTAAGCTTCGGACCAGGAGGATCATTCCACAACCTGAGTGTTCGCAGGAGAAAGCTGTTATTTGTATTTCCGATAAAAAAATAACACACTCCTTGAGAAGACCTGTTAAAAGTTGCATTTTTTTATACAACTTAGAATGGCAAATAAGCTGACGGTCCACCTGATGGACAGTGATAACCGTCGCCTTTAGACATGAGCAGTACTATGGACATTACAGCGTATACTGTTTCGCCCATGATATCCCCCCTCCCATGCGTTGCCATTCCTGAGAACTCAGGTGTTATTCCTCTGTGCCGTGTAAATTCACTGCCATATCCCACCTTTCAAACCGAAACACAGCCATGCAAACACAACTGCTTCACGGTTGAAACACGAATGGGATAGACGTGCTCAAGCAAACGACTTTTTTACAAAGTCTTTCTCTGGTAAATATGTATGCATGTAAACGATTAATTTATTAGTTTTAAAATTTAAAGATTTAAACATTAATAAATAGATTTCTATTAATTACCTTCTCCATTCTCTTTCTCGGATACAGCCTGATATTGAAGATTTTTAACACTCATTTTGTTTGTTTATTAATTCACACTCTAATAACATTGACATATGGAACAGTCTTTCATAAAATAATAATTTAATTAAATTAATATTTTAAATACATTATTGGCACTTAACGCGATCCAACTGAAGGTAAATTTATTTATTTATTTATTTTATTTATTAGGCGCACATAACAGAAGTTTACAAACTTAAATTATAACATGCAAGTACATTAATGTATTGATCAGGTAAACTTGCCACAAACATGTGCACACAGCATGATCCAATAATAAATGCGACTGCAACAAAGCCATTCGGTTGCAGCTATTAGTGAAAAAAAATTAAACATAAAAAGAAACATAAAAATAAAGAAAGTTAAATAAAAAAAAAAACAAAATTATATAAGAAATTATATAAATAGTACATACAGGTCTGATGTTTATTACTCAATATGCAAATAACTTGAAAGAGCTAAAGAAACGGTCTACATATATGTAGCTATAATATCCAAGGAATTATCCACTAACTCCTTACCGTTAAGGAGTTAACCTTCCATCATCAGCTCATCTCAATAACTTATCTCTTTATAACAACTAATGGACTGTACATACCTATAGTATTTAAATAATTCTCCTCTGATTCTTAATCATTGAAGTTTTTCCTTCCATCATCAGCTCAGCAACATGAGATGATGATTAGAACAAATGCAAATATCTGATTGCGTTTTGAAAAATCATGAAGCACCATATATATGTTTGTAAAATTTGATGTTTATCCTCGATTTCCCAGGGATTCCATCGTCATCAGATCATGGCTATGGGACTACTAATATTGGGAATAAAAAATAATTTTGAAAATTGGTTCACAATTGACGAGGAAATCGATGGACATAAATAAAAAATATATGCACATAGAACCTCCTTTTTTTGAAGTCGGTTAAAAAATCAGGTATATAGGCATTATTTACCTGCAGTTGCGTCGTATTAATTACTGTTAATGTATTCAAAATATGTACCAACAACGCGATAGTTTAAATTTAACTGAACGACTGTTATATTCATACAATTAGAATTACGTAACTGTATGTGAATTTCCATCAGATTTCATTATCAGAACAATGATATCGCGTTCAAATATTAATATCTACAATTTTTACTTTATGTTCTAATAAAACACATATACAACATGTTTGTTTCTATGATAGCAACAGTTTTAAGTAAATAAACGTAAAACGAGTATGTAAAACGTTAAGGGTTCCCGACATCTTTGATTCTACAGGGTGAAAGGACCGGGTTGGTCAAAATGAAAATACCTGATTCAGATGAATTGTTAGAATCAATTGGCAGATTGTTTACGACAGGAAATTCACCACAGGTATATTAACGATTCTTTGTTTTGACGACGAGCAATGTATTTGAAATTTTATGATACACACGACGCGCGATACCTTAACCGCCCGGTCAGTGGTGCTTCTTCATAGGTAATTTAGTACGTGCGTGGAGTTGACGTTACACAGCTAATTCCGCGACAGAAAGTGTCGTGGTAGAATTTCAATAGGATACGATACATTGCTGTTTTTTGATATTTCATAGTATTTTACTATAAAATATTATTACTTATTTATATTAAGACATATCAGAAAAGAAGGGGAAAAATGTTGGGACACTTGATACGACACAGGCAGATCAAGGAAGGAGTTGGTGTCGTGTCGTATCAAGAGGTGAAGAGACTCGCTGAAAATCGTAGTGAGTGGCAAGAGCTCCACCGACAAGAACGCAGCTCTTAAATAGATAGATAAATATTAAGACATAGTATTATAGATTACATGACTTTAAATGAAAAAAAAAGAGAGTAATTTTGATATTTTCTTGAAAGAATTTCCACTGGTTTTCAAATCACTGTTTCAATTTTGGCCAACCTGTCCCTTACACTTTGTAGTCTCTAGACAAATGCTTAAAATGGAACCTTAAAATTTCATAATAACATAATTACCTATGTATGTGTCTCTCTTATCATTCTAAACAAAATTCATTTTGGTCTGCCTCATACATTTTTTTATACAACTTAGAATGGCAAACAAGCTGACGGCCCACCTGATGTAAAGTGGTAACCGTCGCCTATAGACATAAACAATACTATGGACATAACAGAGTATACTGTTTCGCCCATGCGTTGCCATTCCTGAGGATTCAGGTGTGGATATGGCGTGTATTTACTGGGTACAGAGAATACTCTGTACCCAGTAAATACACGCCATATCCCACCCTTCAAACCGAAACACAGCCATGCAAACACAACTGCTTCACGGTTGAAACACGAATGGACAGAGGTACCCAAGCAAATATTGTCATGGAATTTTATTATATATAGGAGAGGTTTATTTTCACTTGCAATTATATTAAAACAAAACAATTTAAATTTTCCGTATGGTCCATGCATATAATAGGCCACCCCTCCCTTTCCAGTGAGTGTCGTAAGAGGCGACTAAGGAGGGCTAGAGATGGGCAGCAATGTCCTTCTTAAAACATCTCTAAAGCTTAACTGTGGTTGCTAAACCACCTGCTAAGTATGGCAACTACTGAAAACGATGGTTAAAGGCTGATATAAATGAAAAATATAGGCATATAAATATATATTTTATTCTGACGATACTGCCTTCTCTGGTTTTATTTTTGACTCCGGATCTGAAACAAGGTTTTTTTATGTTATGACATCAGTAAAATCATGATATAACTCGAAATATATATATATATATATATATATATATATATATATATATATATATATATATATATATATATAACCCCACCCGCGCTATCGGTATACACCGAGCAGAAGCACCAATGAGGGATGACAGGTGAGGATGAAGCATGAAGCAGATCAGTTAACCCATCGTGACGAATTCAACATTAACAACGATAATTTCCAGGGGTAACCGCGTGGAGGTCGATCTGATAGGGTATATTGCTAGCAATGAGGTTGTTAAATATCATTACTAACAATCCCTTTCCCTTAGACTAGCATATTACATTAAACAAAAAACAAAATGTTAAATGAATTTTGCATGCTATCACCTTGTTCTGTTCAGCTAAGCACGAATGTTCTTTCGACTAATGTAACATCTTTGACTTTATTGTGTTTAAGCAAATAAAGATTATTATTATTATTATTATTTTACAAATAAAAAAAAAAAATCATTTAACCATTTCCATTTTCTTCAACTTCATTCCACGGTTGCTTTTCGCTCGTTGCGAAAATAACAAAAATAGTGTTGCACAAAATGTAGACGCCGGCCGACACGTAGAATACCTTGCGCCATTCACTGGGATCGGACTGTGAACAGAATGTATGATGTCTACTTAGATTATGGTATACAGATAGAGTGTCTCCATACAAATGCTTCGGGAAAAACGGCTCAACTTTTTCATACAATTCTAAGTGATAGTTATGAGTGATTCCTTTATAACTTCTATATTTATTTTGTCTTATAATTTCTGCATATATAATAAGCAAACCATTAATTAATAACTGGTTAAACACTAACAAACAATTATTTATATTTTGATACAGTAATGTTAATGATAAGGAAATAAAGGGCTTTTTAAGATTTATTTCGTCTTATAATTTTTACATCTTTTTAATGCGTAAACAACTCATTTTATTTATTAAATAATACGTCAAGATACATTTCATTCGTAAGTATATAGAACAATGATAAAAAAAACGAGTCAGCTGATTTGACAATTAGCTACTTAATACACAATTATTACAAATACAAGTGCATAATTTTACCAGTGGGAGACTTTGTACAAAAGTCGATTGCTTGGGTACCTCTGTCCAATTCGTGTTTCAACCGTGAAGCAGTTGTGTTTGCATGGCTGTGTTACGGTTTGAAGGGTGGGATATGGCGTGAATTTACAGGGTACAAAGGAATAACACCTGAGTCCTCAGGAATGGCAACGCATGGGGGTATCACGGACGAAACAGTATACTCTGTTATGTCCATGGTACTGCTCATGTCTATAGGTGACGGTTACCACTTTCCATCAGGTGGACCGTCAGCTTGTTTGCCATTCTAAGTTGTATAAAAAAAAACGTGTTCAGCAGTGGACAGTTAATGGATGATATACAAAACACTTAATATATATATTGTGGGCGATATATATATAATATAATTATATAAAAAATATACATATCAAACCAACGGAGTATATATATAAAAAGAACATATATATATATATATATATATATATATATATATATATATATATATATATATATATATATATATATATATATATATATATATATATATATATATATAATAATCGAACATCAAAGTCTGTTTAATCATTTATAAAATTACCTCGTCCTGCAGTATGGCGCCGGCGGCGAGTGGTGTGATCAGAGATATGATATTGGCAAAGAAATTCGTGATGCCCATCATTTGACCCGCGAAATTTGGTGCCATGTCGATGTGCACCAGCTGCGAAACAAAGGTTCAACGGAATGTTATATTTCACAAAAGAAAACCGACTTCGAATGTGGTGGAAATAGTTAATTTGAATAAAAAATCAAATTTCAAAAATCAAAAACCGATTCTGATGAAATTTCTATACGACCAGTTCGAAAGTACATCCTTTCAGATAAAAAAAAAAATCCATATCGGTTCATACTCGTAAATGACAGAGTTCTAAAGTAAGATATATAAAAATAATTAAAAATTACATCTCGCAATAAACTGACTTTAAATGTGACTAGACCAGTTATTTTGATCTAAAAGCTAAACTATTGAATCCATTTTGAAAATAAAATCTTTGGCATTAAAATAAAAATATACAACTAAACTGAAAACCTCCTTTTTTGAAGTCGGTTGAAAATAGTATTTTATAACTCACTACCTACCTCTATTCGGTGCGCTCAAACTCTTACTAGCTTCAAAATCTCTGTTAAATCTTACTACCTCTCACTTTAGTACTATTCTCCTGCGTTCTCTCTTCGTTTTCCTTCGTCATTTTTTTCTGTTGTATGTGTGCTGTTAAGTATGTGTATGTTATGTATATATTTAATTGTGTATATATTATATATGTATGTGTATGTATGTTATGTATATATTTAATTGTGTATATATTATATATGTATGTGTATATATGTATGTATGTATCTATATATGTTTGTATATGATAATATTTATATAATAGTGCGCCACCTACTCTCTGTCTTTTTCTCAATGTCCTCTACCCAAAGGTTGTCTGGAAGAGATTGCTCAGCGATAAGGCCGCCTTTTGTATCACTTCTCATTAATATTTACTGTATTTGTTATTTCTCTTTTTACTTGGTGCAATAAAGTGTAAATAAATAAAAAAAAATATTTTAATATAACAACATTGGGGGGGTAAGCAATATACCCAACCAGGTCGACCTCCTCGCGGTTCCCCCTGGAAACTATCATGGTTGATTCCTGATGAATTCATCATGATGGGCTAACTGGCCTGTTTTCATTCTCATCGATCACCCTTCACTGGTGCTCCGCCAGCGTATCCCGTTAGCGCAGGCGGGGTTACCATTCCATTTTCACCAATAAAAAAAAAAAATATAACAACATTTCATTGTTGATTATTTCACTTTACTTATTACTATGAACTGTAAGTTAAAATATAAATTAATTATATAAAATACTTGAAATCCATTCCCATCGGATCTGTTGGGCGCAGGAAGTTACAAACATACTTCAGCAGCCACGTTTTTATTTTATTATTAGGTATTATATTTATATTATATTATTCAAGTGTTGCAAAAAATTATCTTATAATAATTAAATGTTATCATTATTTTTTATGAATAAATAAAATTAAATAATAAATAAATAAATATTTAGTATATATAGATATATGTTCATTTTACTTAAATGAACATCGGTTTTAAAAATAACATTAACTTACTATGTACCCAGCGAAATGGCCAGCATTGATCCCAACCACAACAACCAGGAGTGAAGTGGCGATCACGACATCAGCTGGTGTATACGACAGGCAAATGAGGGCTATGGCTGGGCCGTATGCTCCTGTAAAGAAAGTTTTATTAGAAACACCATGGTACCTGCACAAAATCACTTCCCCAGGGGGGAAAGGGATTGTTATTAATGAAGACTGAGAATCCCATTGCTAGCAATATACCCAACCAGGTCGACCTCCTCGCGGTTCTCCCTGGAAAATATCATGGTTAATTCCTGATGAATTCATCATGATGGGCTAACTGGCCTGTTTTCATTCTCATCTATCACCCTTCACTGGTGCTCCGCCAGCGTATCCCGTTAGCGCAGGCGGGGTTACCATACCATTTTCACCAATCAAAAAATAAAAAACACTTCCTCATAGATGTCATAAGAAGCGACTAAGAGAACTTAATGGTTGAGGGACGAGCAGCAACGTCTCTTAAACCTCTTAAAACATTACCAAAGCCTAACTGCGGTTGCCAATTTAAAAAGTCGAATTAAATTTTGATTGATTGAACATAGAAGAAATAGCGTTTTATTTATATATTCTTTATTGCACTTAAACAATATATTCGACAATTAATTTAACAACTTGTTAGCAAGGGAGGACTTATCTCTGAAAAGGATCTCTTCTAGCCAATCCAGTGTAGTTAGAGAGAAAATAATTTAATTTGGGTAATCCGGAGCAGAAAAGGTACCAGTGAAAATAATGTAAATACATCAAACACTATTGTGAATAAATATGTAAATAAATAAATAAATGAATAAATAAATAAATACGTAAATAAGTAAATAGATAAATATATATACATATGTATAAGTGCATAGAATTATCATGTACAATTGATTAAAAGATGTGATTTCAGTCTTCTCTTGAAGGAAGTAATGGAAGGACTATCCCGTATGTCAGAAGGTAGCCTGTCCCACAGTTGTGCAGCACGAAATGTGAAAAAGTTTCCAAAAATTATTTTGATAAGAGATGAAAATTTTGTTAGTTAAACGTCAAATTAATTGACTAAATATTAACATGCTTTTTTTTCTCGATATATACGTATATAATTTAAGCAAATAATAAAAGCAATACTTGCCAATGCTGTTGAAGAGCTTCCTGCTGGCGGTGATACTGAGCCATTTCTTCTTCAAAATGTAATCGGCAACGAAACCGTTGGGTATGCTCAGAACGAAAAGGGCCAAGTAAGGCAATGCCGATATTATCCCATTCTGTTGAAAAATATTTATAAATGTACGTATAATACATATGTAATCAATCAATGCCCAATACGTATAATAAATTTATAACTGATCGCTGTCTGTACATGATAATACAAGAAGGACAAGATATATAAGAAAAACTATCATAGGGTTGCTTTATGAACACAAAAGACCCCGAAACAATGATTTTTAGAATTTTTGTCTATTTGGCTGTTTGTCTGTACGTTTGTGCACGCTAATCAGAGAAATGGCTTAACTAATTTAAATGCGGTTTTCACTAATGCGTTGCAGTTTACTCCACTTAACATTTTGTGTTTGTTTTATTTTAATTGGTTCATAAATAAAAAGTTATATTAATCTAAAGAATCACATACAAAGTGCTATAAAAGTCTAACTGCGATTGTCAACTTGTATGCCAAGCGTAAAAACTACTGGCAAAATCAGCAGTCATCAGTTAACAGCTAATATGATGATGATGATGATGAAATAAACTTTTTTTTATACAACTTAGAATGGCAAACAAGCTGACATGATGATACCCCCCATGCGTTACCATTCCTGAGTACTCAGGTGTTATTCCTCTGTACCCTGTAAATTCACTGCCATATCCCACCCTTCACACCGAAACAGCCATGCAAACACAACTGCTTCACGGTTGAAACACGCAATACATATATAAACAACTACACATAGTATATATTAAATTAATAAATATATGAATCATGACTAATTATATAACAGATTAAGGCTTTTCATTGTTGTGGTAAATTGAAGTAATGCTCACGAAGGGTTTTTTTTGAAGGGAAATTTGGTTAAGGACTTTTTGACATCAACTACAATATTTTATCTCGATACTCCATCTAAAATTGGTCTATGACATTATTTTTACTTCTTCTGAAATCCACGCGCGCGAAATTGCGAATAAAAGCTAGCGTATCATAAAATGAAAGGTACTTACGTGTTTGATGTCGACGCCTAAAACTTTGCTCATATACGATGGTATCTCGGTGATCAGCGTCCAGTGGCCCCAATTCTGTCCACAGTGCGCTATTATCAAGGATATGAACGGCATTGATGTGAATATAGCCTTCCATGGTGTCTTGTATCGCTGCAAAAGTATATTCATTATTATAACAGATCTACCGGAGGGAGACTTTGTACAAAAGTCGTTTGCTTTACCTCTGTCCCATTCGTGTTTCTACCGTGAAGCAGTTGTGTTTGCATGGCTGTGTTTCGGTGTGAAGGGTGGGATATAGTAGTGAATTTACAGGTTACAGAGGAATAACACCTGAGTCCTCAGGAATGGTAACGCATGGGGAGTATCATGGGTGAAAAAGTATACTCTGTTATGTCTATTGTAATGCTCATGTCTATAGGCAACGGTTACCACTTTCCATTAGGTGGGCTGTCAGCTTGATTGCCATTTTAATTTGTATAAAAAAAATGTTTTGTTGAAAAAAGCAACAGTCCAATTTCTTGCCCGTTTACAGCTCAAGTTGCATTCCAAATAGGCGGTAGAATCATAAAAAAATAATATATTTGTAATTAAGTTAACATAAATAAAACATTTTTTTTTTGTACTTATTTTAAACACACCGACCTTATGCCCTCCAATTTGTCCCAGCGAAGTCTGTATGTACAGTCTTTCTTCAGAAGTGATAAACCTCGACTCCTGTGGACTGGAACTACCAATGATTATGTAAACGATCGTCCAAATAGCCCCAATGGTTCCAGTGACATAAAATATCGCCGGCCAACCCCACAAATCGGCTATGAAACCGGCAGCAATATGTTGGAACGCCGTCCCTAATTGTCCTCCTGTTTAAGAATGAAATTGAATAATTAAGCCACTTTGCATAAATAATGTGCCATAGCTCCCGCCAGCGGTCAGGGTTTAGGAAGGGGCTTCATTATAACGGCTCGCATTTTAATTGTTTAAGCCGCACCTTAAGATGCTTTGCCCTGTGGTTTCTCATACTTATATATTTTTGAGAATTACAATTATCCGATACTTGTTATGAAATAGGAATGTTTTAGTACTTATTTAATTATTTTTATATTACTATGTATACTTGATATAACATATATATAATGTGTGTGCGTGTGCGTGTGCGTGTGCGTGTGCGTGTGCGTGTGCGTGTGCGTGTGCGTGTGCGTGTGCGTGCGTGCGTGTGCGTGTGCGTGCGTGCGTTCGTGCGTGCGTGCGTGTGTATGTGAATTCTAGCATTATTTACGAACCGATACGATATAATAGCCATAGTAGATACCATTTTGTAACCAGATCCTTTCAGATAAAAAAAGAATTTTCGAATTCGGTTTACAACAGACAGAGTTATTAGATAACAAACATAAAAATGTTCTAAATTCGTTAGTAAATACTGCCGAATTTGGGACACTTTTCTTCTCCTTCCTTTTTTTTATACGACTTTGAATGGCAAACAGGCTGACAGCCCACCTGATGGAAAGTGGTAGCCGTCGCCTATAAACATGAGCAGTACCATGGACATATCAGAGTATACTGTTTCGCCCATGATATCCTCCATGCGTTGCCATTCCTGAGGACTCAGGTGTTATTCCTCTGTACCCTGTAAATTCACGCCATATCCCGCCCTTCAAACCGAAACTCATCCATGCAAACACAACTGCTTCACGGTAGAAACACGAATAGGACAGAGGTACCCAAGGGAACGACTTTTGTACAAAGTCTCCCTCCTTCTTCTTTTTGAAGTCGATTGAAAATAAAAAATACGAGTACATATTTTATAAGTGATATCAACGACGTTGGCGATACTTGAAAAGGACGACGTCTCAATTAAAACACAGCGGTTTAATAATTACCATTAATTACCAACCTACGTAAACAACGGTGCCCAAACGGCCTTTTTCTTCAAGAGGCACCCACTTGGCGACGAGGGTGTGTAGCGATGGATATATGAAACCTTGGGACAGACCCTGTAGCACGCGGCACGCGCATACCATTTGCCAGTCTCCCTGTAAATGAATTGTTAATTTTATTTATTATAATTATTATATGTATATGTATTATTTCTCAGCTTATAGCTGGTTTTGTAGAGACAAGGACGGGATTGTTACCAAGTCACTTGTTCTCATATTTTAATTTATTCAGTACGAATGTTAGGAATTGAACTATTTAAAAATTTTCTAACTATGGAACATGTATCTAATACTGTAGATTTCTGGAGTTCAATGAAGAATGTTTTATTAAAGTGCAGTTTATTTAATGAGTTGTGTAGAGATTTTGGGATAATACCAGTAGAAGATAAGATAATCGGGATTATATCAACATTCTCTTGGTGCCACATATCTTTTATTTCTTCGGAAAGAGGTAAGTATTTTTGTATATTCTCGTTACGTTTCGGTTTTAGGTTTTCGGTATTTGGTATGGAGATGTCTAAAAGGTAAGTTGTCTTTTCTTGCTTAAATGTAAGTGTTATATCAGGTCTATTACAGGTTATTGTTCTATCACCCTTAGTAAGCCATGCGTTAGATTATTTATTTTTTATTATTATTTATTTATTTATTATTTAGATATTATTATTAATAAACTTCTATAAAGTACTTAACTTTTTAATTATTTATTTTAATCTATCATCTCTCACTGGTGCTCCGCCAGCGTATACTGATAGCACACTTAGAATTATCATTCCATTTATCAACCATTAAAAGGACCCTTTTAATTATGTTTTAATATATATAAAAAAAAACTAAAAATAGGCCACCCCTTTCTTTCTCGTTGGTGTAGCCTAAAAAAGGCGACTAAGGAACGGCGAGGGATAGGCAACAGTGTCCTTCTTAAAACATCTCCAAAGCCTAACTACGATTGCCAATTAGCCTGCCAAGCGTGGCAACTAGAAATGGCAAAATCCTCTAAAGGGAAGGCAGCAGTGAATAGTTAAAAGGTGATATGAATGAATGAAAAATATAAAAATCTGTGTGTTTGTTTGTTCACGCCAACCTCCTGTAACTGTATGTATGTAAATGGTTTTAATGATATTTTATAAATCTGTACTCTTTATTAACTCTAATTTGAGTAGTAGGATCGTTGTCATCCTGATGGTGACAAGAAGCAAAATAACGTTTGCCAAGTCAGTTAATATAATCATCATCATCATCATCATAATAGCTTTTAACTGTACACTGCTGAACATAAGCCTTCCCTCAGGAGATAACTTGGCAACTACAGGATTTTTCCAGTAGTTGCCAAGCTTGGCAGGCAGATTGGCAACTGCAATTAGGTTGTAGATTTTTCTAATAAGGAAGCTGCTGCCCATCCCTCGCCCTCTCTTAGTCGCCTATTAAATTAATGGGAAAGAAAGGGGTGGCTTATTCTACGCCGGGACCACACTGCTGTATATATATATATATATATATATATATATATATATATATATATATATATATATATATATATGGATGGCAAAATATATTTATATTTTATTTAAAAATGTTATAGTCACTTATTTTCTGAAAAGAAAAGTGTTGCTCCTAAATTATGCATACTTGTGTTTCAATTTAAAGGAAGGGTTACGGCAGTAATATTTTCGGGTACAGAGACGTAACACCATAGTCCTCAAGAATGGCACGCATGAGGGATACTGTGGGCTTTACAATGTATTCTTTGATGTCCGTAGTTCATGACTAGAGACAACGGTTTCTACTTTACATCAAGTGAATTGTTTACTTATTCGGCATTCCAAATTTCGAGAGACAATATAAATTAAATAACAAGCACATTAGATAAGATAGGACTATCTCGCGAAGTAAGATTACGAAAAGTAAATCATTTTTAGACAAAAAAATGTATGGACTATATCTCTTTTCATTTAAGAGTTTCCTCTTGTCGGTGAAACTAATTCATGCATCTTCTTCCAGCCAGTTCTATGCCAGGCCATATCCTTGACCTCCCTATATGACATGACACCTAGTGTTTCTTTTATCTGTCCCATGTAGTTATTCCTAGGTCTTCCTCTTTCTCTTTTGCCCTCTATTTTTCCTTCTACTATGGACCATATGTTGGGACATATTTTACTAACTGAAGATAAGTTTGAATTATTTATGGTCAAAAGTATAATGGGAGATCTAAGAAAGATGAATGGACTGTGAAAGATATAACTAGAAAGGGAGTGAATACTGAGATGAATGTAAATTCGTGTTTCAACCGTGAAGCAGTTGTGTTTGCATGGCTGTGTTTCGATTTGAAGGGTGGGATATGGCGTGAATTTACAGGGTACAGAGGAATAACACTTGAGTCCTCAGGAATGGCAACGCATGGGGGTATCATGGGCGAAACAGTATACTCTGTTATGACCATGGTACAGCTCATGTCTATAGGCGACGGTTACCACTTTCCATCAGGTGGGCCGTTAGCTTGTTTGCCATTCTAAGTTGTATAAAATAAAATAAAGATAAATGGAAGAGAAAAATATTATGTCGACTTTAAATAGATATAGGACAAGAGGATGATGTAGGTTTCATTTATTGAAGGGATATAATAGACTGATTGTTTAATGCCCATATTATAGTAATCATGACATTGAATTTGTAATAGTATTATTGTATTGTAAAATTGTAAAAAACGATGGAGAAGAAAAGTTCTTTAGTAACGACCCTGTACGGGCAAACGCAGTGTAGGACAGTCCAACACTAGAGGGAGTGACAACTTGAAATGTACTGCAGGGAGTCAGTGGATGCAGGTGGCTTAGAACCGTTCTCTATGGTTGTCTATGGAGAAGGCTTAAGCAGTGGACGAATAATGGCTGAAATGATAATAATGATGTTTCTTGTAAAATTATTTAAATATTTACAATTGTTGTAAAATTGATGAAGAGCGTTCCAGATATAGCATTAAAAAGAGTAGGGAATTTACAAGTTACATAAATAAATACTACGGGAACTTTTTGTATTATTATATTTTATCTGCTCGAGTACTTCAGCCTCGTGTTTCTGTAGTGAACCAGATACAGCTGTATATACACTGTTGCTATTTCGATTTGAAGGGTTAGCTATATTATTAATTATGTTGATTTGTTAAAGTTTTGAAATTAGTTGCATGTAACCCTACTTTTATACAAAACAATACGCGCTCAACACACTGTCTCTTTGTACACCACATTAACAGAACACTATACATACAAATAACACACACTTTTACACTAATTATTGCGAGAACTTCCAATGATGTGACGTTTTAAATAAATATCTCCATAGATTTTTTTTTTTTTGAGAGAGAATAGAAACCTTTCAGGAATAATCATAATATTGTTTGGTATTCTAATTGGGAATTTGTAATTGGCTAATGTATCGGTGTAAACATAATATTTTGTAATTATTCTAGATATAAACTGTTGATTCTAGATGTATTATTAAAATAAAATAAAGAGTTACAAATCAGGAGGATGCCATGCGTATTTCAAATTATTTCCTAACGTCCAAGCTACTGCAAAAGTCCAAGCGATTATCATTACTTCCTATCAAGTATTTTGTTAACTTATTTGCTATTATAAGTTACATAGGAAACAATCTTACCAATCTAGCAGCTGTCGGTATTAGCAATGTGATCAAAGAGTTAACGCCAATACAGATCAAGATCAGGATCTTGCCACCGAATCTAGAAGCCAGTACGCCTCCAGGTATTTGCAGTACTATGTAGCCCCAGAAGAATGACGACAATATCATACTCTGAATGCTCAAACTCCAGTCGAATGTCTGTTAATATAGGAATAAATTAGTACTCCACACGTTTGCTGTAAAAATATAGAAAATTATTTTGTTGAACCAATGGACATGAAATAACCAGTGATATAGAAATTTATTTACCATATTTAATACCAGAGAGAGACTTTGTACAAAAGTCGATTGCTTGGGTACCTCTGTCCCATTCGTGTTTTAACCGTGAAGCAGTTGTGTTTGCATGGCTGTGTTTCGGTTTGAAGAGTGGGATATGGCGTGAATTTACAGGGTACAAAGGAATAACAATCCTAGGAATGGCAATGGGCGAAACAGTATACTCTGTTATGTCCATGGTACTGCTCATGTCTATAGGC